TCTAAAGCAAGGCCCATCCAACGCCCCACCTGACAAACTTGCCCGCTAGCACGCTCAAATACAAACAAGCGCTAGCACTGGCAAGGACGGCAGGCCATAACAGAACCTGTCTGTGCCACACGGTGTCCTAATAGCGCGTTCACCACAACACACTTAGGACCTACAAACCGTCAAAACCGTTGGAATCCAAAAAAAAAACTACCGCAAACCAAATTTACGTTCACCAAATTTCCGAAAAACCAAATTTCCGAAACCACGCTCTGCTACCATTTGAGCCCCCCCGAGGAGGGAAATTGCCATATTTCGTTACTGAGGCCACGATCGTCCCAGGCCGGGAGGTGGTACGGCTTGGGGAGGGTAAAACGGTGAAAGTTAAAAGAAAACCAAATGAAACTGCTTCGAATAATCGAAGTGTATTATTTAATGAAAAATATAAAATAAACAGAATCAAGACAACTTTCAAGGCTCAAACTCCGGCTGGGTATCCGACTCCAGATGCCTCAACCTCCCACAAACCCTGACTTGCCTTCAGACTTTCTCCTCGAGTCGTTCTCTCCGGCGGACACACACAGACTGCCCTTCTGCCCTGCTGTCTCATCAGGGTCTCGATGCCGCCGACTCCAAAGACCTTGGAGAGGGGAGATAAGCCACTTCGAGCCATGAGGCATGGCTCACTACACATGAAATGGAAGTGACCAATTCATACACATTAACTTAGCAAACTTCTATGAAGTTGTCCTTTATTTAAAGGCATTTTGAAGCAGTTGTGATAGTGCAGTTTTATTCTTTGCTGAAGACCAGTTTGGCGTGGATCCTCACCCTCAATTACCATGCACTCAGCCTCACAAGACTGGCGACACTTTCAAGGTCAGCCCAAGAATTTGCAACATTTTAGTTTGTGTTGCTTGAGAATAAAGTTTATTTCTGGTTGTTCTATTACTTGTAGAAAAGATGATTAACCTGAGTGCCATGTTGCCTTCATGTTATATAATAATATAAATGTTGCTGTTCTGATTAGGCCTTGGATGATGTTGTAACTGGTATGGTGCACAAAGTGAGATTCAACATTCACATTCAGATTTCATCACCACCACGTGAATCATCAGCCTACTTTTTAGACTTATAACCTATATTTAAATATACGTCTAATGGTTATTGCAGAAATCGGTTGATTTGTAGACAGTTTGTATTTTTAAGATACCAGAGCCAAAGTTACAAAGCACTATTCCCACACCATGTGGCTCAACGTGTCGTAGAATCTCCCTAAGCATGAGGCCGCTGGCGGCTCACACAGTATAGAAATTGTTTTCAAGATTTTATATCGGAGTCGGTAAATTTTTACCAACTCCACCTAAAATTGCTTCCGACTCCACAGCCCTATTATGAAGGTAGCTATCCTGTGCGTTGTAATACTGTCATATGGTAGAAGATTACAGACGATTCAGAGGTGCATGCTCCCTCCATCATCAGGGAGATTATAATGGAGGCAGCAAGCATCTGTCAAATGTGGGTAAACTTCTACCACATGACGGCATTACAACCCACAAGAAACACATCTTAATATTCATCGCTGTGAGGACCTGGAATTATATGTTAATAAATTTCATGTTAATAATGTGGATTATGCTGAGGTGAATGATGTCTGATGACTGAGATGTGCTGTATTGAACATACAGAGTCAAACACAATACAGAGAGTTGTTTAATTTTTATGAGCTTAGTCTTTGTTTTACAGTGAAGATACAATTTCATAACATTTGTCTTGTCTTATAAACACTGCAGCAAAGACATTTTGGTATATATTAATTTGCCTGCTTACATGTGACTTCTGTAATATGTATTGCAGTGTTTCTCATTTGTGTTACCTTCTCTGGATAAAATCCACTAGCAGCACCCAACCACAGTGATAACCACCTCCTTTGGTTTTTAAGATTGTATCTGATATATGCATTACAAATTATAAAGTTAGGGAGTGGTGCTTTTTATTTTTGCCTCAGACAATCAGTGATATTTTATTACTTATGTTTGAAAAATAGACAAGAAAATAACAAGCTACTTATTAGATAAATGGCTACAGGCTTTTACCATATTCAACCAGTTTTAGGCTCTATCAAAAGTATTATTATGGAATGAATTATCTGTTGGTAAGTGTAATTTTGCTTGTCTGTCACAATAATATACATGAATGAACAAAATTATGTGATGTTAAATATATTACATTTACAGATTAAGATTAAATACACACTTAGGTCATATTTGCAACCTTGAATTTATTCCCAAAAATATAATTCCATCATGGCAAGCTGTATTCATCAACTGACCATAGACAAAGTCCACAGCTCATGTGGTTAGTCACCAAGTTCTCAATGTGGAAGCCTGGGTTGAAACCCAAGGCAGTCCATGTAGGATTTATGGTGGGCAAAATGACACTGGGACACACTCATCTCAGAGATCTTTAGTTCGCTCAGACACTAGATTATTATTGTCTGTTGCTCCACGTTATTTGTGGGCTGTAATGTCAGGTTTCCAAACAGGCAGTTGCGTCCCTTCACGATAATAACAGTTATGCAGAACATTGCAATATTAAAATCAAAACATTACACAATTTAAATCAATAATTTAAAATATAGAATTGTCTGTGGATTGTATAAAATCTATTGTTGCCGTGTGAAATGTAGCTCTGATGTTTCTCCTTTATCAGTGCTAAATGAAAATTTGGGACCAGTTTCACATGGAGCATTAAACTTTACTATTATGGGGTGACCATTTATTATTTCTTATCGTAATTTATCTTTAATGTTTGCTTATATAAAGTTGTTCCACTGGCCCAGTGTGTGTTGTGATCATCAGCGGTGTACTGATGTTCTATTTCTGTGTTAACTACAGTGGTATTCTGTGATAATGGGCCAGTTCCTGCTTTCCTGACTACCTTAATCCTATAAAATTATTGCAATAATCATTTGACATTGCCCATAACAGAAATATTAACCAGCCATGTGGAGGGTCACACCCGTGCACTGAAAAATGTAATTCTGCAAGCCCTCCCTCACTGGGAGAGCATGCAGTTCGAATGCAGCCACGAAAAAGTCAAGCAGTTTATCTAAAGTCTTATTTAAGTATTGTCACAAACTACAGTGAACTAAGGGAGTGAATATAAGACCAGGGAGCAGCTGTATTGCCACACATTTTGTTACATTATTGTGTTCCATTTTCTTACTTGAAAGTCAGTTGTGGTTGGTGTTTAGTATTTGGGGAGTGTTCGCACTGATGTAATTGAAGCTCAACCAAAACGGTCACACCGGACTTTAAATTTCCTGATGGTCTCGCTGAACCAACTCTTGGTTGCTGAGTTCATCATTAATTATATTCCAGATCGACTTTTCTTACTGAAGCGGGTGAAATGGCCACAGGTGTGAGTAGCAGTGAGTTGAAAAAGACTCTAGTTGCATGACTTAACAGCAGGTTGAATCAAAGTCAAATTGTGACAACCGGAAGGAACTGTATATTTCTGTTGAATGTGAGATGCCAGGTGCAAGAACAGTTGCTTCAAACTTGAGTTGAGTTGCCGTTATAGTGCGAACACTCCATAAGAAGTGTGAAGGTGTTTGTTGAACAAACTATTGCAAGAAACTGACTGCTGTTGTTATTTTGTTTTGTTTTGCTTCTTTTTGTGAATTGAATGGTGCAAGAATCAAGTGACACAGTGGCTTCTACACCTAAACGTGAACCTCATGTTGCACCATTCTAAGACCAGGTGAGATATCTTATTTAATTTTAGAAGCAACCTACTTACGTCATCCGTTAACCAATATTTCTACAATTTTATGTGTGTCCTGACAGTGGAACTCCGTGTCGATGTTGGTAATCTAGATTGTAACGTCATGAAAATGTGCAAGTAGATGCTCCAGTCTCTTCCTCACTGTGTCAGATGTCCTTCGAAGGACATCTTGGCTGGTTCAGAGGCCTTTCATTTGTTTCAGTTCCAATTATCTTAAATTTCTGTGGCTTTTCTTTAGTTTTATTCTGTTGAAACCATCTTTTCTTAATATTTTTCATTCTCTGTTAATTTCAACTGCCTGTATAACTACTTACAGTTATGCCAACAAACACAGTTGCAATACTTATGGTTTCAGCAGTCTCAGATCATATTTTTGTTCTCTTGGGGTCGGTTGGTGAATATAGTGACTCAAAACATGACGTTCGTGCCGTCGTGCGTCATGCGCTGGAAGTTTTTAGAAGAGTGGGCTGTTTATTTCTCAGTGCTCTGAGTTTTTACCCAGCAATGATATTTTGTGTTATGTCTGCTTTTTTCTGTTGGTTTGTCCCATTCAGTGTATGGCTTATTTTCAAAAATATCAATAACTCAGATTATTTGGCATCCTGTGCTAAGCTATTCAGTGAATGATGCACTGTAAATATGTGCAAGGAAGAACATTTTGCCTCACTTAAGATAATGTCCAATATTTTCATTGACTAACTGAGGAAGACCTGAATGAGTATAGCTGTTGTGTGGACTGAGATTTCTTCAATGTAGTTTTCAGACACATTTAGTTTAAATGAGATTTTAATATTGACCTTCCATACAATGTTACAATGGCATGAAGGACTCAGATGTCTGATGTGAGTACCTCCACTCATGAATGCATTAACTCCCCCATAAAGGTAATCACTAAGCAGGTTTACTTTGTCATTTTGGCACTCAATGTTTTCTCAGTATCTCTCAGCCTTTGCTCTGGAAATTTTACTTACAGAATTGGTTTCTGTTCACAGAATTTCTTGTTTCAGGTTACATAATTAAGTTGAAGTTTTGTGAATTATGGTACAGTTTAGCATAAATGTAGTTTATTTACTTCGATAATGAGAAATCTATTACTTTCCACTGTAAAGACTTATGTTCAGATATTTTGTCCACACTGAATTTCTTAATCCAAGTTTGAATATTCTCATTTATAACACTGTGTATGAAGTATGTGGTGCTGTCTTCCATCACTAGTGCCATAATTTCTCCAGGTATGTATGACTGCCTCACACACTTCTAGTTTACTTTATACAACATTCATATCTGTTAAAATAATAAAAATAATTAGTGTTAGTGCCCTAACAAAGAATGTGATTCTGAATTTGTCATTAGCAGCCTCTGCATGTACTGCCTTTGACCACTCCTTGAAATCTCTGAAGATCATCCTGGGGATGCTGGTGACACCAGCAGGATGGACATTCAACAAAGTGGCAGGAGTGGAAAATCCAGTAGGAATGACAGCACCTCAAGTTGACAGGAAGACAGGGCATCAGTTGAGAAGACTGCAGAGGTCCAGTGACTTAACGCCGAAGAAAGTCTTCTGAATGGATGAAGACATCAGAGTGGTGAAGAAGAATCATCTTCAATGCCTATCCTGTGCGTGCTTGCAGGAATTCACAGCCAGTCCATTTATTCTCCATCGCAGTACTGTATAACTGGACTTCACAATGTGTAACTTTGGCTTACAGGAATAAGCAGTGTAGAATGTTGAAGGTTTTCCAAAGTTTTGGCAAACACTTGTGCTGCTATCATCAGGGTGGATGTCTTTCACAAAATTCTAAAGCTTCTTCTTGACTTGGCTTTGTGGACTTGATTAGAATAACTGAGGAGAAATGATCTATTCAATGTGGCCAGGTGTACTGCTAGCTTCCAGTTGCTTATCTGTTGATCTGTGCTAATTGTTATGCATAGCTATGTGCCAAATTCCCAATCTTTTGATGATTATAGTATTTTTGGACATTCTTTCTTGGTGGATTTCTCTTTTTTAATAGAAAAGTTTGCATTTGTTTCTCTAATCCTGTTCCAAGAATGAAATGGAAATTCATTCTGATACTGCTCAGCTTCATAAAAAAATTTATAGTGGTATTGGGCTCAGAACTTGAAATACTTTAACATCAAAGCACCACATAATCTGTGAAATATAACTCATCTCAATTTAATTATTTCAAATATTACAAACAATGACAATGCAATCTGGCTTTCACAGTAATAACTCTGTTCATATCTGTGCAGGAACTATGCTAACACATTGCTCTGCTTGGCCTACAAATCTGTGCACTGACTTCCCTTACTCAGTGCCCACTTATACCCATATACCAGCTTCAGTGTTCTGTGCATGAATTGCATAACCATTCCTTTGTCAGTACCATTCTTCTGTCTGAGTTTCATATCTCAATATTTACAACTAAAAAAAATTAAAAATTAAATCTGTGGCGTAACAGCTCCAGAGAGCCAAAGCCGACTAGCTTGACTGCTGGCCTCACGTTCACATGCCTAAGCAGAGGTGAACGATCAGCCAACCAGATATATAGAGTGACGTGTGGTCAGCACGACGATCCCCCAGCCATTGCTAGTTTTCCTGATCAGATTAAGCTACTCATTGTAGCTCCCCAATTTCCTCACGATGCTGGGTTGGCACCGGTCCCATGCACTGGTCGAAAGCTCATGAGAAAATTTCTTCTCCCCCGAGACTCGAACCAGCGCGCATTCCGTATCGCCGGTCCGAAGCATGATGCCTCAGACCGCGCTGCTACGGCGCGGGGACGCTGAAAATGAAAGTGATGTTTATATTAGTATTAATATAAATATATGTCGTCCTCAGTAGACTCAAAGTTCGTGGGTTCAATCCCGGCCAAGGTCGGTGGATTTTTAAGGGCGATAAAAATCCTTAGCACAACTTACTTTGGAGGGGAAGAAAAGCTGGCAGTTCCATGTTGTAGATGTAAGGCATGATATGAGATGTTTCGTAAGCAAAATTCAGCGGCCATTTCTTACCCAAGTCTCTGGTATTTAAATCAGGATTGAGTAAAAATTGTGCAGGTCACTCATTACTCATAAATGCACACTTCAAGACCAAGAAACCTCTGAAACAGGAGGCGACGAAAACCCACAACCGGTTTGTAGAGCCAAGAAAACAAACAATATAAATATGTGATTCCATGTATGTCTTTGCCTCACATTCATGTCTGGCTTGATCAGTTCTGTTGCTGAGAACACACAGGTTTTAGTTTGGTTGTTTTATCATTCACTGTTCTTTTAAACTTTTGAAACAAGTAGTTCTAGGAAGAACTCATAAAGCCTACTTTCATATTGCACAAACTTCCAATCGTTGTTATATACTAGGTAATGTTAGTTTATAATTCACTAATAAATTGCAGTTTCATTCCTGAGTTAGGATGTAGGTGGTCATAGGATTGACTCCTACAAAAGTCGGACATTTTTGGTTGGTTGCAATTATGACCATGTTACACACTCCTGTAGTTGTTGTTAGGTGTTCTTCCTGCTCTATTATGAGTGAAAAACATGTTATGGACTTGTCTATGTCCGTCAGTCACATATTTCCTAGGAGGTAGGTAGAAGACCTGCTTTATGAGGGGTCATTGTTGCAGATCATATTTTCATTGCTGTTCCATTTGTTGTTATTCCTTGTCTTTGCCTTCACTATGTTGAACACTCCTGTTGATGCTGTCGTACAGAGTATATTATTCAGGCCTCAGAGAGAGGACTCAAACAGGGCTGGACCGCTTCCAGGCACTGAATCCCTTGGGAACAGCCCCAGGTAATGCCCCTCATAACCAGGCCATTCCCCAGCATGCTTGCTTTATTGGAGCCTGACCCCCTTGTGTTTTCTGTTTTTGGAGCTCTGTTCCTCAGGCTTTCTCTCCTACCGGCGACCGTGACAGGATCAAAATAATCCCAGAGGCCGGGAGGTCATATGGCATAGGATTATCACAGGGGTTAACCAAAATACAAAATAAATGCACTCCCAAATTACCAAAATGTATTTTAAAAAAATATATAAATTCAAAAGGAGGACAAACCGACACAAATTCCTCAAACCTCCCAAGGCTCAGGCTTTGGTCAGGGTAACGACTAGTTACGTCAAACAACCCAAAAACCAGATCTATCTGTCTCCAAGCTCTCTCTCTTTGAATCGTTCTCTGCCCGGTGGACACACACAGACTACTAAAAAATATTGTTTTCTATTTGTAAACTATAAAAACTATGTGGTAAAGAGTTATGGTCATATCAGTGATTCAAAATGGACAACAGAATACTTTTGAATTTGATATGATTATAGTAATCTGTGAATATGATAAAATTTTGTATAGTAAGAAGCAGTAATATGATTAAAAATTGGATATTAACATTATATAGAAATTTATAAAACATGGTGACTTACTAATTTTTCCACTTTCAGTATCAAAGTCAAAAGCCTCAACTTTCCTTGTTGGGGAATCATTGTAGTACATTAATTTAGGTGTTCATTCCAAGCCAGTCCATTTGAAATTTTTATTCTTGCCACATGTTTTGTTGATTTCCAATCCTTAGAAAAACTGAAAAGTGATCCAACTGGAGGATAGTCAGTTATTGAATCTGTTTTTGGGCCCATAGATTCTGTTAAGAAACAGAATGATGTCTATTTTATAAGCTGAAGCAAGATAGAAGTGTACATGTGTCAGCTATGCAACCAATGTTACTGAATAATGATACAAGTGTATAACATGCGATAGAAATCAAGCTTCCTTCACTTTTGTATACATCTGGAATTGGCGCCTTCTTCAGAGGCCTGAAGATATGAAAATTGCTTATTTAGGGTTCACTGATGATCAAAGTACATGGTAACCATTTCCTTACCAAGTTATTTGCTTATGGGGACTGTCGATGTTTCTACTGCATTCTGGATTTCAGAAATTCTGTTGAATCTTGATCTCTAATAATTTCACCTTAGAGAATGTATTTTATTGCATGTTCACCTAACAAATTCAGAAAACCAATGCTTCTTGGAAGTGAGTAATGTGGGGGAGTGGACAAAAGAGGCCATCTGCAAATCTATTAGAAGCACTACCCTTTTAAAAATAATATTATTACTGTTGAAAG